TTTTTAAGCAAATGTCCATGGCTGTTAGCAGCAGACCCTCTTATAGGTTTTTGACAACTGGGGGCAGTAAAGCAGATAATAGTAGACTTAAATGTGGTTTCCCTGTTCCAGATTTGCATGATGGATAGTTGTTGTGGTTGAATGGGACAGGTTGCCCGCTGTAACGTGTCTCCAAGGAACTTCATCAGCCATTGCTACTGTTACAGAAAACTAACAACCTAGGCAACTCTGCTGTATAAGAGCTGACTAAGGCCAAGTAAACAATTTAAGAAAGAAGATGGATTTTCTAATATTATTGATAGAAAATTGTATGACTCAATAAAAACCTATTTTGAACAAAATTTATTTTTCCTGTGAAATTTTATGTAAAATAAGCAACATGTAAATCAGTTCACTAGGGTTGTCAGCAATGTACCATCTTGCGATCCTATTTTATCTCACAGTAAAAACCCAATGGCTGCAGGAACTACATCTCCTTTTGACTAATATTGGTTTATTTGGAATTATGAACACATTGAGATCACGAGGACATAACATAAAAAAAAAAAAGGGTTGATTATTTTAACTGGGGAACATGCAATTCTGTAACGCATTACCCTAAGTGCTAAATAATTTCATATTCAGAAAACCCAAATGGAAACTGGAAAACTGTAAAAATAGATACAGTCCTGCACTGCTGAATACAACAGTGTGTCAGGTTATGTGGAGGCTTACACACAACCTGACGGAATGAAGAGTAACCAGCAAACAGTAACTGCAAGGAAGGAGAATAAATGGCAAACAGAACAAAGAATGTAGTAATCAACTGATTGGGAGCAGTTGCGGACAGAAGGATTTAGAAGGGAGGAAGGGGAAAGTAGGCTAACACAAGGGGGCAACAAAGAGTAAACAAGAAATACACTATGACTCAAATACAACCAGAAGAACAACTAGAATGACACAAAATGGAAATCAAACGAATTACCTAGAAAACACAGAATGACATAAATCAGAGTGTAACTGAAAACTCAAAAAGAAACAAACAGAACCAGAATGCCCAGAAAGAGCTGAATCATGATACAGTGAACACAGTAACGTTGATCAACAAAAACTACCAAATGTCTGTGTAAATGTAATTAAATGTGTGTGAAGGTGTGAAAGTAATTGCAGGGTAAATGTGTCTATTTTTAATGCATCTTAGCAAAACAGTATCTTTTACAGATGTGCTGCACAAACAATCATACACAGCCTGATTTTATATACAGTATAGTAATATCACTGTTTAGATTTTTACAAGCTTGTTTATCTACTATATTTGGTAATTACATTTTAGTTGCAAAATGCTTCCAGCACAGTGTAACTCAGGTGTGAAAACCGGCCTTAACTTAAAGCTGGTTAATAGTGAATGATTTCTACATAGCAGTATACGTATACACACAGTATACAAGTATACGTGTGTTATAAGGTTTGTATTTTGCAAGCATATTCAATGCTAATTTTTTTTTTTTTACAACTAATTATTTCTTTATTAACATTTCATGTTTATATTGAGAAAAAAATGACTTTTTATGTTAAGTCACTCAGGTTAATCAAGCAGAGTTAATGTACACATGTAACCAATTAGATATCACCTTCAGCTCACTGAAATGACATTGTTTGCACACAAACTTTCTACTTCCTTTTTTCCATCTTAAGCTGAGCACAGAAATGCTTATTTAGGCTACAAACAACTATGAATGGTGCAGAACGGGAGCCGCAGGTGAGTTTCAGAACGTCAGTGTTTGGGGCTCTGTGGGAGGAAAGAGGAAACTGGTTAAAACTAAGAAAGTTAGGAGAATCTGCGTAGTTGCTGATTTAAGCGGGGGACTGAGCAGCACCACAGCGGAGGTAGGTTCGAGGAGCAGCTGAAGAAATCAGCGTGAGTCCAGGAAAGGGGTTCCCTTGTCCAGCTCGGTAATACCCAGGGGGCTTGAGGGGAACGCTTGTGCAAAATCTGAGCAGTAGGGATTCAGAGACCAGTCTTCAGAGCACGAAAACAGATGGAAGAGCAATCCAGAGCACAACAAACTGAGGGAGGCAGGAGATAGGTTAGAAGCAGGAATCCAAAACATCAGGTTAACGAAGATCTATCGACTGGACAGAGGCCTAGGCGTCTCTCTTTGGCGTCTTTCAGCTGACTCCTCTTAAGCTCCCGCTGAGCAGCCCCAACGAGCCACAGGTGCAGGCCCACGCCCATCTGTCAACAACAGTCACCTGTGGGAGAAAATCAGCAGAGCACAGAACACAGTACCCTGACAGAAATATGCTGTTACATTTCTATAATGACAAATCTTTCCAATAAATCAGCTCTCTTGTATCTGTGTTTTCATTGTGTCTGTTTGAGTTAAATAAATTGAGCTCTGTTCGGATTTATTTTAGTAATACATCCATGTGGTGATTCAGAGGTTGGTTAAAAACAGCTTTTCCCCTAACTGACAATGTGACTTTGTGCCCCTAATGATTTACTGTAGAAAAATTGGGCTTTAATGTCATTTATATTGACTAATTATGCTAAATGCTTTTGGAAATGCCATTTTGTTTGTTGGTTGGTTCATCCTTGGTTACATTTTTGCATGGTTAGAGTGAACCTTACAACTTGTGTCATCCTAATTAGTACTGATACGAGTGAAAGTTGGGGTTGGAAAATTTTGATTTCTCTTATTTCATATATTAATTTATCCTATTTACTCACTATAAAAGTCTTCACTCAGTCTGTTTCACCTGCAAGGCCAAACAATTCCCCTGCGTGAGGGTGTTTGTAGACAAGGCATAGCTTCTTCCCAAAAACAAGCCAGATTCTTTCTCAAGGATTATTCATAACATGTTACTGTTTAACCAAAGTGTCTGTAATTAGTTTTGACTCTGACTAAGTACAGTGCTGTAAAAAAGTCTTTGCTCCGGTACAGATTTCTTCTATTTTCCATTTCATTAAACACATTTTGACATCCAATAAAGGATAATGTAAATATTAAAACTATTTTTGACAGATAACTCTATCCATTGAGGAAAAAACAATCACAACCAAAATTAATTACATCCTAATATAAGAAAACTGGTTGTTGTAACCTTGGTAGTAAAAGACATCAAGACTTTCTGATATTTGTTTATCATTATTGATTTTGCTTTAATCTAGTTCAGCAACATGTAGGGTTTTTTTTCCCCCAGCATGACTTTTCTGTTAATTCACCATTTCAAAATGTCTGTACTTTGACTGTCCCAATTTGTATGTTTTAGTTTTCTAAAGACTTTTTTTTGTGTGAGCTCTAAATTTCCTCACCACTAGGTTTGATGAGGGATTTGATGGCCTGAATTTTACATCAGACCTATTAGGATTTACAATTCCCTGAAATGTCCCATACTGTTTTTATACTCTTTATTCATATATAGTTTATATTAAATAGTTGCTAATGTGAGACTTGCCTTTGTGTTGTTTTGGGTCAGCAGTGGTTCTAGATGTGGACCTCTCCTAAAAAGCCCATTTCTGACCAGTTATTTTCTCATTGTTGTTTCATTACCTTTGAACCTACAGTGAGACCTGTGGAGCATCAAATGTTGCTCTGCATATTTCTGAGACCTCCTTAACTAGTTGATGATGAGTTCTTTGAGAAATTTTGTTAGGTTGGTCACTCCAGGGAAGGTTTTGCACTGTTAAGGATATGATCGACTGGATCTAATTCAATAATGAGATAATCCCCCCCCCCCCCCCCCCCCCCCAACACTGTTGCCAGTGTTTATGTTTGTATTTGACACTGTCTTTATTTCATAGTCCTGGTAATTTTGGAGCCCAAAATGGAACTGAACTCTCAGAAAACATTTGATTACAGCTAATCCAGGATTTTTATTATTGATGTGGGTCAGATCAGTTTGGCTAGCTTTTGTCTCTTGAAAAATGAAAGTATTATTTTAACACTGCTGCTTGTATTTAGCTATTTTTGATAGACACTTTTCAACCTTTCTGTATTTATTCTGAAATTTACCAGCAAATTCATCTTTTGCAGAGCACGTGGCAAACAGATAGTGATTAAAGAATTCCTTGTTTTTCTGTCTGCACGGCTGCATGTCTTTTGGGGTTGTTTTGCTGAAGAATTTATGCAATCAGCCAACTATGTTAGAAGTACAGCATCAGAAGTGACTGCAACCTTCACACAGTCCTGTTTACATAAGCATGAGACAAAATATCGTAAACATGTCAAACTCAAGCTGTGTTTAGGAAATCACAGAAGCTCCGGGAGATAAACAGAGTTACAACTGCACAGAACACAGCCGTGACTGTGACTACAAACACTTCAATGGTTGACATTTTCTGTTTGGTTTGCTTTTTGGCTTTTCAGAATGACAGCATCTGTTTTAGACAACATACCAGGCTTAGCCAGTGAGTCAGAGAATGTGAGAGATTTTTAATTAAGTTTGTCTTGTCTTGTACATGTGGAGAGGAGTTAAGATGGTACAAGCTCTTCAAAATGTTTGACAAATGGAAACATGTCCATGTTTTTTGTTTTGTCGTGTTCTAAATCTTTAGAACAAGAAAGTGTGGGAAACAAATGTGCTCTGCTCTAATATTTTTTTTGGACTGTATCTATCATCTGTTTTAAATATGTATCTTCTTAAGTTACTAAAACTAACCCTTTCACAAGTCAAATATGAATTAGCTATCTCTATATTTATGCTGCTATAGGCTTAGACTTCTGGAGGACATAGGGACCCCTATTTAATCCTTCTGCTTCATTCTATCTCTAATCTCCCACTCTGCAAAATCTGTTAGTTCAATCTCTAACATTATGCTCCCTCTGCTTTTTCTCATGGTAGATTCGCCTCGTCTGCTCCTGTTTGGCTGTGACACCATCAGCTGTTCTGCTGCCATCAACACCTTTGTTTATAGATGCGCAAGATTGGCCTGTTTTTCATTGTAGTCTTGTTTCTCTGACTGTGACTGGCTGGATGTGCTCTCTTCGTCCTCTGACGGTTTGGAATCCAGTTTGTGTGGGTTGTTTGTGTGTTTTTCTCTCCCTACTACCAGGTGGTGCCCTGTCCTCGTCGGGCCTCACTGCACACCTGTGGCTCGTTGGATCATTACTGGAGGAGTATTTGAGCAGTGGTCTGTCACTACCTCGACGCCAGAGTGTTTGCCAGGTTTGGGTACTCTAGCCAAGCTGAGATTAGCAGAATCTAACCTAAGCTTTGTTTCTCTGAGTCTTATCTAGTTTTTTTTCTTTTTGCTCTTCGGCAGGAAGCCTTCCTGAGTAACTGGATACCGGGAAGTTCTCCCCCTGGAAGGATTAACTGAGTATACACTAAGCAGGAGAAAACCTCCACATGATCCGTTCAAGTCCTCATCGGAAATCCAAGTGACAGTCCGATCCTTTAGTCCTCTGGGTCCAACGCGTGTCTGTCTGCCCTCCAAGTTCCCTCTTCTGTGAATTAACCTCCACAAGTTGGATTCAATAATTGACTAGAGCCCCCTCTAACGTGAGTACCTCTCCAATAATATTCAAGCCTCAGTCAAATTTCCTACGGTCCCTGAACTGATCACGGTGATCTCCCCTTCAGACTTTCCAGTTCGGGTTCACCAGTCCGCTGAGTTCCCGATCCAACTTCTGTTATTCATCTACATTTAATAAACCTGTTAAACTTTTCCCTTGGTCTCTGAGTGGTTCTCTGCATGTGGGTCAGATTGCTTAAACCAATCATGACACTGACATGGGAGCTGGCTCAGAGCTCGTCTGCCTGGCTGTGTGTTTCCTGGATGGGGCTGCCTTTTACAGTTGCCTTTTGTATCTCTGCTTCTGTGTCCTTGAACCCCAATCAGCCTTGGCAAATGGCCGCTCACACTGAGCCTTGTTCTCCTGGAGGTTTCTTCCTGTTAAAAGGGAGTGTTTCCTCTCCACTGTCGCTACAAGCATGGTTAGTGTGAGGGATTGCATTCGAGTCAATGAGTCGATGCAATTAACTGGTTTTCTTTAGATAGAAAACATTGAATCAATTTGATTGTATGATCTGGTAAACTGTAAAGTGCCTTGAGATGACATATGTTGTGAATTGGCGCAATATAAATAAAATTAATTTAATTCAAAGTCTAACATACAAGATAAAGGCAATGAGAAATCCAATATGTAAATTGAAGATATTAAGAATAAGAATCCATTTCTGATCAATATATTGTATCTTTAGTTGGTGGTTTCCTTCACCTTAGCTTATTACTAGCTTATTTTTTGTTTTGTTTTTCCATTTTCCTTTCAAAGGCAGCTAAAACTCTCTAAGAGATATTTATTAAACCCATAAAAAGATTTAGGTTTTGTTAAACTCCTTGTTGCAGAAGCAATGTTGGAGGGCTTAAAAGGAGATTTTAGGAGTAAAAGGGGTTATTTCCCCCTCCAAATAATAGTTGATTGAGAATGCAACACGTGCTCTCACAGCCTAAGGATGAAAGAGAACAGATAGAAGTAGCTGCAGCAATGATCAGGAACTCTGCTGAGCAGAGATGGTGAGAAAAGAAAATAACTTTAGCCGTCACCAACACCATCCATCGATCTTATGTTGCTTATCTGTCCGGGTCAGGGTGGACTAGAGCCTTTCTCTAGCAGTTTATGGGCAAAAGGCCGGGTGCACCCTGGATAGATCGCCGGCCCATTGCAGAGTCTGTCACCAAATTAATTTTTCAAAAGAATTAGAACTGATATTATACAGCAGTAATATATCATGTACCTGATAATAAAAACATTTACCAATTTTTCTTTTTCAAAACACCAGTAAGGACCTAAGAATGAGCTAAGGTTTTAGGATGAAAAAGTACCTCCCTGTAGTTAGAAATTGACATACACTCATCAGCCAGATTGTCCTGATTTTGTGATTAGTACACAGAAATGCTCATCTTTTTACCTCTGTTAGAAAATCATTCAATAAGTTTTTATCTTCACACATAATCAAAAGAAAAAACACCATTCAAATAACCAACCAGAATTATTCTAGGAGTCTGGAACTTGTCGCTGCTTGGTTGACTTCTCTTGCCTGCGCCATTTTCTTAGAGATACTATGTAAATATACCGCTCTTGCCACAGACACTGTCACAGTGTCTTCAAAGCTGTAAAATCTTTAGTGTATGTGTGCTCATATTCTCCACTATGTCATAATATCAAAGTGGATGAGAATTAATTAGGCTCATTAGGAGTTTACAATACATTAGCAAGATCAAGGGCTACAGATGTCATATTTTAGGGATAAAAAAAAGTATCAGTCATTGTTTGTTGATACAAAACAGAAGAGAAGACAGATGAAGGTCTGGAGACCAAGAATCTTGACCTATGCTTTCCCAGGCTGGGGCTCCAGCTCTGGTCTTTATGCCTCTGTCTTGATCTCATTTTGTTGGGCCTTGACAAATTATATCAAGGCCGGTTCAAGACGAAGAAGTATTGTTAGGAAAAAATTATAATGATACAAAATCTAATTCCCTTTATCTTTTTCTGCAGATGCACATTGCATTGAAAGGGAATAAAAAACATCATGGGTCAGAGCTCTGCTGGATCCTGCTATCTCAGACAAAATACATAAATTTTGCTCGTGATGACCATAAAGTCTAACCGTGAGAATTTTTACAACCCCATGGTATTTGGTTCTTTGATTATTTCCGCATTTGATCCATTGTTTTATAAAAGCAAACATTTACATGCAGTCTTGGCTTCACTAGGAACACACCTGCTGTCTCACCATCGGACACGTCCTCAGTTTCAAAATGATCAAATATGCTTTTCACCCTTAGGATTTTTTATTTTATCTTTCTATTATCTTTGTCATGGTTTTGGTTATGTTGTGCTTTACTTTGCTCCATGTTTCCTAGTTTTATCGGTTTAATTCTTATTTTGTTGTAGTTCCTAGATTTATGTTAGTTCTCAGGTTTTTCTGTTGTTTTCCTCTGTTGCACTCTTGTGAGAGTTCCTTTCCCCTTGGCTCCCTCGTTGTCTCCTTACACCTGCTCCTTGTCAGCTCGTTAGCCCTGCCATTGTCTCAGTCAGCAACATACTCTCCCTCTGCAGTCACTCCTTGTTGTTGCTGGTCCTGTCGTTGCTGCTTTCTTCTTACCTCGTCTCTCCCTGGCTCCTTGTGATTATTTTCCCCTGATGTCTCCATGGTTCTGGTTTGTGTTAAATATTAAGTTGAATTTTGGACCCCTGCCTTTTTTTAAATTTTTCCTCTCATTAAAACTACAAGAACTCACATCTGACTCCCTGCCTCTGCATTTGGATCCTCTAAACCAGGCATCCCCAACCTTGGTCCTCTAGGCCCGCTGTCCTGCAGGTTTTAGAGGTTTCCTTGCTCCAACACAGCTGATTTTAATTGAAAGCTGATTAACAGGCTTTTGGTCTATTGCAATCATTATAATCAACTGTGCTAAAGCAGGGAAACCTCTAAAACCTGCAGGAAAGCGGGCCTTGTGGACCGAGGTTGGGGATGCCTGCTCTAAACCACAACCTAGACGTGACAATCTTTAGCTGAATCCATATATTATATGTGTATATATATATATATATATATATATATATATATATATATATATATGAACTCAGGTATTTTCTATTGTGTTCAGGAAATGCTCACTCAGACTTCTGCACCTGTTGACTCGTATGTTCATGGGCAAAAACACTTTAATTTGTCTGGGACAGTTTTTTAAAAATCTTTTTTTAACTTCTAAATCGATATTTTATTTTAAAAATAATAATTTTGTACATTTCTATTTGTTATAAAAAAAAAATGTCATGTTTTTTTTTCAATTCAATTTATATAGTGTCAGATTCACCACACGTCATCTTAAGGCACCTTAGAGAGACAATTCAACCTGATCTTCAAGTCAGATTGGTTAATAGTTTTCTAACGCAAACCAGTTGATTGCATCGACTCATTGACCTGACAGCTATTTAAATACTAGTGTGAATTTTCTTTAATAGGAGGGTATGTAAACGTTCAACCACAAATGTATATTACAAAAAGAATGTTGTTTTTCTGATGGATCAGTCAGGTCAAGGTTACAGGTAGAAAAACAATCTACAGCATTGCACCTATGGCATGGCAGAATAAATGTAGAACATAAACAGCAGTGACAAAGAGGAAACTTGATATTTCCTAAGACCGGATAGAAACTAGTAGGGGAGGGTGCCACTTCCATATTGGTTGTTGTATGTATGAATTATTTTAGATGATCTCCTTTAAGGTAAAGTGTATGATTTATGTTTATCATTATTTTGTATGACACTGATCTCCTGAAGGCTCCAGGTTAAAGCCTTAAAGTAATTGAGAAACTCTGCTGGTTCTCACAAGACTTATCTTCAAATACTTTCCATTGGCCTTCTGTTTCTCTCTCAATGCAAACAAAACATGCTGTCTAACTGGGAATCCAGCTGTCATGGGAAGAGATGGTTTCTTTGACATTTCACCAGTGTTTTTCACATCTAGCCTCTGGAACTAATCGATTATGCTTTCTTGATATGCAGAGGAGGCACCTGCTTCCTAACACATGTATATGTGTGTATATATGTACATGTATATATTCAGATGTATATGCAAGATAAATACTGCAATGTTCCAGTTTTGATGTTTATTGCTTCACAGAGAGAGGGAAGACAAAGTGCATTCTGTCCATGTGAACGGAAAAAAAAGTTGCCATATCCTGAAAAGTGTTTTGCGCCCAAAGGCCCCTGGGCTTTTCCTGTTAATAGAGCACTGTAAATCCTCAGACATGGCCATTTTCAACGGATGGGGATCTGGCTTGTGTCTTTTACTGCCTTTTCTGCTGACGAAGGACACCTGTATAAGCATGCCCAGCCATCCATGCAGGATCAAACCCAAGCAAGGACGCTTGTTTATAACAGAAGCTGTTATATAAGGCAATAAATTCAGAAATGAGGAAATAAAAGTCATGAAGCAGATCTCCAGCAGTTAGTCAGAACCTTTAATGGGTGTTGGTATATTTTGAGAAGTCAAGCATAGGAACTTGAGGTCAGAGCTTTGAATTAGTAGCGACAGTTCAGACTTCTCACATCATGTTTTTAAGCATATTGAACATGTCATGTGCTGGAGTAAAAGCTACAAACCAAATGTAGAATATTATGTTTACAAGAGGGTTGATGGTCTGGAGTACAGAGACAAACATTTAAAGTTTTCATTTCCTGCCGTTTGCCAATATCTTCCCAACATATGGTGATTCCAGTGATAAGATCTCAAACTCATTTCGTCCGACTTCATTTTGCAATATTAAGAAAAAGCTTTGAAGATTTCATCATTTTGATGAATGTGTTTAGATAAAAATATATAAAATGTACAATAGTTTTGTGCTTTAATCTCAGTCATTGAATATTAATAGTTCCTCGTTTAACATCAAACTGTTTTGTCTTGGCATGCCATACATAACAACACATGCAGTTCGATATCATAGCAGTAACTCACCTTTGGTCCCAATACACAAAAATCAAACTTCAGAGCTTGAGGAATAGTCAACTGCTAATCTTAAATATGTAATTTTTTCAAGACATCTCAATTACGTAATTGGGTCACTAGCAGGATCCTTTAGAACTTATAGGTATGAGGTAGCTATCAAGCCCTTAGATGCCAGTGCATTGGGCCTGCCGCTTTA